CAAAATCCGAGAAGGGTCCATTCTGCCTGTCTACTGCCTTCAACCTGTTCCAATAAGTGTGCACACAGGAAGTCCAAGTACTGATTTGCTGGAGATCGTGTTTGATATAAGTGTTTAATCTGAGGTCGCTCTAATTTTACATGCTTTCATTATCCATTAATTTTAATATCTAGATCTTCTTGTTTTTAACATGCGACACTTTCCTTAGTGTGAGCAAAGCGAAAGATGTTCTAAACTAGGTTCCAGCCACCAAAGATAGTCTCCAGTTCAGGTGATAAATATTCACTAAATGTGTTTGTTTCACCTATCATGTTCTTCCTTCTTCACATTCTAAGTTTTTCGCGCCACTTTGAGAGATTTCTCTTTTTTATACGATTATCAGTAGCTCTCTAGCTGACATCTGTATACTACCGCTTTAAACCTCTATGAGTTCTATAATGAGAGAATCCTCGCTGTTAAACTTTGGCTTGTTCACTTTTATCCCTCAAGTCAGTCTCTCCGGTTGTACAAAGATATTTGCTGTAGCTTCACTAATTCGCATTCATCGCTTTCAAATTAGCGAAGGAAAATTAATCTAGCCTACATAAGTCTGTCGTTTTGTATGGAAATGGTCAGTTTTTGTGGTCATTGCTCTCGCATCCTTCACATCCACAACGAATCCTGGAATATACAATCCATAGTCAAAGCTTGCGTTTTTTGCGTTCTACCTTTGTCTTCCTTGCAATAGATGATGAGAAGTCCATTGCGAGTCAGTGTTACGAGCCGCGGTTTTAGATTTGTCATTTTGTCGAAAAGCAGACCCTTTATGTTGCGATTAGAACAAAAATTCAAACTTAGAGCGCAATTTTGTTTACCTTCTGTTTTGTCAAACACAAGACGTATCCCCTAGCGGCGACATCACTATCTTTTACACGCCATGCGCGTGCAGCAGGAAGACTGACAGTCTGAAAATAGTAATTAAAGGTTATTTTCCCTAATTTTTCGATGGAAACTTACCTTTTTGAAGCTTTTACTAATGTAGAACACCTCACTACGAGAAGTTCGTCCTTTTAGCTGCATTGCGCAACAGTGGTTAGTAGAATTCAAACCAGTAAGTTAGTAGACAGTCCACCAAACGTGCCCGACTAGGACAGAATGGTAGGTAATGC